GGAAGGAGTTCCTCTGCGTTCCCTGAGTTGTTTTGGCTTTCTGCTCCTGTTCTGTCAGATCTCCTGGCTTTGTTTCTCTCAACTGGAAGGATCATTAGCTTTTGGGTCGCTATCTGGCTGACAGACTCGGGAAGATTACGGTCAATAAAAACAACACAACACAATTTGATCTGGGCTTGGTTAATCCAATTGGACATAGTGTCTTGGCTCAGTCCATCAGTGGCTCTCTGGCTCGCTCCAACACAGAAGGCAAAATGTTTTTAACGATTCCCGCTTAACCTTGCCACAAACTTGGAGGACATGTGTATTGAAATTCATTTTAAAATTAAAAAAAAAAAAAAAATGTTATAAACATTTTGTCATTAACAGCTTCTTCGCCTTTGCATTTGGATCATCTCAAGAGCGCCATCTATGGAGTTAAAATGTAATTTAGTTCAGTGTAACATCATGACAAAGGCCTTTTGCACAACCTAGGTCAACATGGCAAAAATATTCATATCTGTGCATAAATTCATCTTTTCTTGTATCCATCTTAATGTTTTTACACAGCACTCTTCCACAGTAATACACAGAAAGTTCAATATTGCCACCACTGATGGCAACATCAGACATTTCTTAGCAAAAAAAGAAAACAACAACATTGTTCTTAGGTTTCACTGCCAACAGAAAGTGGTAGGACATTGTATAAATGTGTAGATGAATGTTTAAGATCACTCCAGGTACAAAAAGATAATAAAACTGTGTTTGGTCATTATTTCATTATTATAACAATGCTTCTTAGCATTTAATTTGGTATTGTTGATATTGTGAACTTTGAATTAAGAAGTAGAGTTTGTGGATTTCTGACATTAAAACTGGACAAATCCACTCTTTCAGTACCAAAAAGCTCATTCTGCTTGAGATCCTCGGTTTGGGTTTCACTTATTGGATTGAATGATTGAAGTCTGAAGAAATCGTTGCACTGGCTTCACCAAAAGCTGTTTGGCATTGACAAAAAGGTTCATCTTAGGTGCAACCTGTATACTACATGTGCATTTTCCTTACAAATATGGCGTCATTTACAGACTTTTCTAGTGGCATCCAAGAAGTGTTGCTACGACAAAGAAATAATCAGCCAACCGCATATTTTCTCAATGTTTGTGTCAAGTATGGCTCCTGGGAAGTTGAGGTTCCAATGTTTGAGGCTTGAATAGGACTTATGATAAATTCATCATTTGTCGTGATGAATTTCTTCTAAGAGTTTCAAGATTTCCCCCCAGAAAACTTACTAACCCCGGTGGTTGGACACTAGGGCAGTCATCCATCCAGCAGCCCGTCGTATTTTTGAGTTAAAAAAATGCTTTAAGTGGACAGGAAGTCACTGGATAATTATGTGCTATGAAGTACTACGAAGTCCTAAAAAATGCAAACATTTTAAAAAGACTTAAGAAAATGAGCAATGCTTATAGCCAAACGGTTACCTAAAAGAACCAATAAATGGTTCTTAATTTCACTTTTATTATCATAATAATACCACCGCTAAATACCGTGATAAAACTTTAGATCCATGCCGCCCATCGCTGGTTGATGAGGATACGAGCGCGAGACCTTGACGAAGCTGCAAACTGACGATCTGAATGTTTACCGGCCGGCGGTGACAGGCATGATGGGGGATATATCAAAACCTCGTCCACTGACACTGGAAATGAATCCAAAGCCTGAATAGTTCTTTCTACAGCGGGTCTGGTGTTTGCTCTGGGAATTGCTTGTGTATCGTGCATCTGCCTCCCTGCAGGCAGAGGTTAATTCATGTACACCAGGGAGGGGCAGGGGTCGTTTTTCAGAAAGCCAATGCAGGCTGAGAGACGGCATCTATTCATCTATCTTGTGCTGTTTTCTGTTTGGAGCGTCTAGATGAGATAAGCGGCGGGCGGGGCGGATAAATGAACACCATCATTTACCACGCCTTTGATCATGACTCAGGCCTCCTGGGCTAAATGCTGTGCACAATTTACCCCTCTGTCCAAGAAAAAAGACGACGTGTATCTACATGGATATTGATGTTGCGTGTGAATGGGTTGGTTTGTGCTTTTAGGATTTTTCTTTTCAGGGTCCAGACCGTTTCTAGAGCTAAACTTGGTCTGCACCTCTTGAATGTCACTTCTGTTAGAAATGTTCCAATTAATTTTCCTTCATTTAGCTCAGGTTGTCTGCTGCTTTTATGCTGAGCTGCAAGCTTGGGCAGTTTTAGTTAACTCCTAAGTGATTCTTTTGTTTTCTAATTACTCTCTGCTGGTTATTTTTGATCCACAAATAGCATTCATTTGGCTTCTGTCACAGTTTGCCTCCCTTTTCTCTCTCTCTCTCTCTCTGTCTATAGAATTGGTTTGTGTTCTCCAACTAAAACATCTGTAGGGCACAGCCAGCTGCCAGGAATGTTTGCTGTCACACGCAGAATAAAGCTGTCATCTTAGCCCGGTGATAAAGAATAGTCCTATTTTTACAGGCACGTCTGATTTCTAAGAATACGAACAACCAAAATAGTCCTTTATGGTTCTGAGAAATGAGTTGTGAAATGTCTGCAAAGAGCTTTGATTGCTCATCCTCTGAGCGTACTGGCCTAATCAAAACTTGCTTCCATGTGTGAGGTCTGAACAAAAGCGTGCGTACGGTGCTAAATAGAGCAGGTTTGCGTGTGCATGTGTCAGGAAGTTTTGCAGCTTATCGGTCTAGCAGTTGTTTCTGGGGGTACTCTGTTGTTTCTCTTCCTGATTTTTTGGGCTGAAACCTGCAGTTGGTTTTGGCATCAGAGTTCGCAAGAAATGCATCAATGTGCTAAACATGTTTAACGTCTGGTTTAGCTTTTATGTATTCGGTGACATCAGAGTCTCAAACCTTTTGTTTTTCAACAAGTGCCAACTCAGAAAATACATTTTGGAATTGGAATTTGGAATTTGGAAGTCAAAAACAGAATTTGGGATTTTTTTTTTTTTTTGCTTTGTTGTACATATGAAAATAAAGTTTCATCCACTGACTTTGTATGTTTAGTTGAAGGAACCAGTTTCTTGTTTCATTTTGGCTCAGAAGTTGAAATGTCCAAACTGGAACAATGTCAATAAAGTCTTGAGTTCCAGGGGAGAAGTGAAAACCCAGACTGTCGCATTGTTGGTTGGATACATCCCAAGTTTGTTTTTTGTTTTGTTTGTTTGTTTTTCCTGTGCTTAGACGAGACTTTTAACCAAAGAAAATTTTAATTGAGTTTGATTAACTTATATATTGGAACCAAAATCTGCTGTAACTAATTTTCGTACTTGGAATTGCTTAGATTACTTTGGTAACTTTTAGAGCCTCTCATTAACTTAAAAGATCCACTTTCATCTAAGTTGTAGGAGATTTTTAGTTACTGTTTTGTCTATGTTTTTGCTAGAAATAAATTACATACATTGTCCAAACAATCCAGCCAAGAAACGAAACTCTCTTGCAGACCAAACGTGTCTGGATCTATAGAAAATGATCACAGAAATAATTCCAGGTGGTTCCCGTATTGTAGCTTTTAAAATATGGGTTGGTCTTAGAAAATCCTTTTCCTGGAAAATGTTTATATGTTGCAAAAGTCCAACTCTGAACGCCTTAAGAATTTTAAAGCTGGATTTTGAGTCAAAGAATTAGAAGCTACAAATCAAAAGCAAAGTTCGGGGTCATTGGGCAGCTTTGGTTCATGACAGTGTTGAGCCTGGACACAACACAACCTATTTATTGGACATGTGAAAGGACAGTAGAGAGCGTATTTGAGGTGTAACTGATCGTAGTTTTTATTGTTCAGTAAATTTAGTTTAATCACTTTTTGGATTGCTTGTGTGCCCCCTGACTGGATGACGCCCTGGGAGATGAGCCATATGGGTTAACACACGTCCCTCCCAAATGTTTCACATAATTTAAGGCCAAATAATAATTCAAGGTGTGGTATTTGGGGGTGAAATGTTTATCTTGTCATTTCTGCACCTTCTCTGCCTCATGAGAGGAGAGAGTCTGACTCATTCATAGCCTTCAAACCGGTGTGCAGAAATCAGAAGTACATGAATATTTTTGATTTTGATGCAGGACAACTCGCGCTGGTGTTGGCATTTATTTATTTTTTTATTATTATTCAAATGCTGTCGAAATATTTCACAGATCTGTCCACATGATTTAAAAGTGATCAAGGTAATAAATCACAACGATACATTTAAGCGGATGGTACTTTTTAGATTTCATGCATAATGGCCCAAAAGCTTTGTGTGGGATGGGAGAGCAGCAGCTGCTTCCTGACAAGACGGCCATGACGAACTTGACCTCTGACATCCATCCACTGTCTGTTTTAAAACCAATCTGTCTGCGCGCATGGACTTTCTCATGTCATTAGAGTCATTAAGTGGACAGTGATTAGATTAGAGCAGGGCCCACCGGACTCATTTCACTAAGTGCATAAAGCCTGCGCTCGTATTGTGTGTGTTTGAGTGACCCCTATACGTTACGTGTCGCCGTCTGTTCGTGACGGATCTGCTGCCTCTTCTGCTTTTTTGTGCTGCTTTGGTCCTTGTAATGTGAAGTCGTCTGGTTTGTTTGGGATACTCAAATGACAAGTTTAATGGGACGGGGAATAAATGGAACTTCAGAGTTCGCTCTTGATTTTTATATATTAAGAATGCTTTTAATTTAGTCTGTTCAAGAAACAAATGTTCAGGTATAAGCTAAATCTTTTATTTGCGAACAATATGGGTGAAGAAATCGGTGAAAAGTGATACGAGAGAAGACTGTTTTCAATTTACTGTGCAGCGAGTGTGAGATGCTGCTGTGTTTACTCCATCTTATTGCATTGTGCTGTTTAACGCTGACGCATTCAGAGACATTCCAAGAAGTGTTGCTTTTTCTTTTTTGGGATTCTAGCCATCTGTAACGGGAATGAAATTAAAAAAAGAGCTGATCCTGGAACTGACTGGATCTAATTTTTTTCTCCACTCTTTTTTTCTTTTTGACCACAGATCATCAGAAACTGGAGCGAGAGGCCAGGATCTGTCGAATGCTCAAACATCCAAACATAGGTGAGTCCCCTCTGACGAGCTAAAGATGTGCAGCATAACCATGCTTTCAAGATTTGTGTCAAGTTTTTTGTAGACCTACAAATTCACAATCTTTGGAAGTTTTGGCTCACCTCTTTCATCGTTTGAGTTTTTCTATTTGATAACAGAATTAAAAGTAACATTAAAGAAATTCAGTCACTTAATTTTGCCTGTACAACTAACCTTAGAGTCTTGTGTGGGAGCTTTGGTCTGGCATGTTTCACTGCGAAACTCTTGTGACAAAAATGTTTGAAGTTAAAATCGAGTACTATGTAGAGATATTCATACTCTTTCAACTTTATCCCATCTGGTTCTGCCTTACACTTCAGTGTTTGGTCTTGAGATAATTTTAGTAGGTCAAAATAAATCAGTGTCTGGGGCAAAAAAAAATCATACAGTTTTGAAGAATTTTTTTTTTTTTTTGCCTTTTGTAGAGGACCAACCGTACAACGGCTGTGATTAGATCCAACCCAAATCAGTGCAGTAGTTCAGAATTGGACCGAGTCGGTCAAGACTGAGATTACTAGATATCATCATTCTAATATCTCATTAATCTGCCTAATGTCCCACTAAAGAAAAGCGCAGTGGAGCCCGTGAACACGGCTCAGTCCTGTGTTGTCGGTACGACGTGGATGTGAAAACCCTCAGTTTCTCGGTTCACCTGGAACCCCTGCGGTTGTCGTTTCACATCCCAAACTGCGCGCGGCAGAACAGAGCAGAAACAAAAGCATTGTTGAGTTTGGCTCTGGCGCTAACTGGGTGATAGTCAAACCAGCCGCTTCCCTGTCGGGTTTCTCTTTGGGATATTTGCATGCGACAGCCGGCCAGCAGCCGCTTCCGGTTCAGACGACTCCAATGAGCCGCAGAGTTTCTAAACGGCGCTGACAATCGTGTGCCTTGTGTCTAAACCTTAATCTCGCTAATCTCATTACTAGCACACATTATATCCACCAGCGTCCTTGTTGCACGGCTTCGATAACGTAGAAAGCCGGGGTCACCTGCGGAAGCGCAAAGTGCCAGGAAACTCCTATGTCGACAAACACAGGGATATGCGCTACCTGTTCCCAGGGAATTGCCTCAAAGGGTCTTCTAACCTTTTTCCTTTGTTGCTGTGGGAAATGCAAACAAAAGGCAGGGGTCATTTGGAGAGAGGAAGGAAATGAGGGTTTGTTTGACATAGCATGTAGTTCTTATCACAGCATGTAGCACCGTGCGAACCAGACCTGTTGGAGGCCGGGTCTCATTGGTCTCATCGGCTTAGAGTACATTACATTTTTAAACCTGCACATTGTGTTGAATTAAAAAAATTGATGGACTGACAGTGAAATTTAGGTTTGCTTGTAGAGCTATGACACTTTGGAAATCTCCCGTCTCACTCTTCCAGCTTCCCTAGAGGTACTGAAGCAGAACGGACGAGTTTCAGTCTGACTTGAGATTTAATGTCGCCATCTTCACCACTAAAAGCAGCACTGTTCCACTGCTAAACATGCTGGGGCCATTCCTAACATGATTTCAGCCTATCACAACTGCCCTTCCTTCAAGAACACGTTCAGTAAATCTTACATAACCACGTAGTGCTTCTGGGATCCCAGTCAACTCTGCTTTTGCGTTTTTATTCTTCTGGTGCCCTTCACCTGGGTTGCTTTATTTAAACTTTTTTTTTTTACTAAAAGATTTCCCAGTTGGGTGTTTTTTTTTCCAGGGCTTGGCTTTTGACAACCGCCTTCGTCTCCTCAGTCTCCGATTGTAACACGCTTCCCATGGGAATAACAGCAACAGCGCCTGTTGTCGTTTCGATGGAAACTCGACCGAAGTCATTCACTGTCATTAAAGGCGTTTTATCCAGCTATAGACTGAACAGATTAATGCCAGAATGGGCATCGCTTATGAAGCGTGAAAGGTGTATCGTCAGTATTGTGGTGTGATTTTAAACTAGCTGCACCTAAACCGTAGGCGTCACTAATGAAACTTTTTATACAGTGGAAAAGATTCCAAAGGAGAAATTCTAGCCCAGATACCCAAATAGTCAAATTTGTGGCAGTTTGTTGTTTTTACTTTTTCAATAAATGTTATTAATGCAACACTGCTCCTTCTTATGTGCACAAGAAATCTTGTAGTCATAACCTCTGACCCGACTCTCTGTCTGAAACTTTCGGTTCATCAACGGTACTTTGAGGTTTGCTTTATAGAAGCTAATTAGCGTTAGCGGAGCTTTCTGATCCAGCTAACTGCCTCTTAATTAAAGACTCTCTCTCTCTTTCTGCCTCTCAGTGCGACTCCATGAGAGCATTGCAGAGGAAGGCTTCCATTACCTCGTCTTTGACCTGTAAGTAAATCTAATTAGAGCACCCACACTCGCTCACACGCCGTGCTTTCTGCTCCAGCCTCATTTCTAAATAACAGCTGTACGACAGGGTTTTTTTTTTGTTGTTGTTGTATAGCTTCTAATTTTAACTTCATATAATAGTGCTCTGCTTCTGGTACTTTTACTATATGTTTTCACAAAGCTGCGTTTCTCTGATATGATTGCTTAATCCAGTGGTTCCCAAACTTTTTCTTCTGCGCCCCCCCAGTGGTTTCCAAACATATTCT